TGTACCGATAAATGCATTCTGCTCCCACCAATCGTAATATTCGGAAATAAGGGTTTAAACATTTTTGTGTAGTTGTTGTTTGTTTTAATTGTGCATATTGCTATTACCTTTTCTTGGAATACTAGAAGTGTAACAAATTTACAAAGAGCTTTTGAGTGCTACATTTAGTTACAAGGGAAAAGAGAAAATTCTTTGATAAGAGAATGATCTGAAAAGATAAATGCAACAATTATGTTTGTGGTTTCATTACTGTTAGCAGATTATCAAACAGTTAACATCTTAGGCTCTTTTTGTCAGGTGGTCAAACATCTCACACCTGACAGGATTTTTTTGTTATTGCACCCTTTTTTTTATCATGAGTCACAAAAACCATGTGACTGCAGTCACAAGGAAACATGATTTGATAAGAGAAAAAATATTTTTTTAAAAGATGTTATCCATCACTGTCTCCTCTCTGTGAGTGGATTGCTGCCTAACTGGAAAGGGAGTTTCCAGTGAATCACCTGATGCTGTTTGAAGTCGTTTTGAATGCTATTATGGAAGATTTTAAGTAGTCTGTCCTTTTACTGGGATATAAAAACATGTCATGTTAGCTGTTAAGCTTATTTGGAAAAGTGGTTAGCGCTGTCGGCTCATAGCAAGAAGAGTCCTGGGTTCGGATCTAGTCTGGGGCTTTTATTTGTGGCGTTGTCCCCCAATCCATTCCTTTTGGACTGAAAAATGATCCAATATCCCCGGCTGTAAAATCCCTCTATCGCTGTGCTTGCTCGATAATGTTGCACAACTTGACAAAATGTCTCATAATGCACATCCGCATAACCACACAATGTGTTCATGCACATGTGACTCCCACACAATTCTAATGACGTATAAAATATGCAAATATGTGCAACTGTTGTATTGTCTTCTTTTCTTGTTTGTATCACTGCACATTTTGTCCTTTTGTAACAATATAGATAAAAAATTAATTAACTTTGATGATAGAAGCCAGCAATGTTTAGTGAACTGTAAAATCTGTGTAAACAGGCTACATGAAGATGATTATTGTGCAGTCTTCTCTACTGAAATGTTTTTGGCGCATATGGTCCAGTGAGTGAGTGATAGATGTTTGAAATAGATACTTTATTGATTGCACAAGGGAAATTGATGTGTTACAGCAGCACGATGAAGGGTACAGTCTACAATAAACAGCACAGTTAAAAGAAGTGCCACAGGTGCCTGGTAAGGGCCTTATACTATGAGATAGTGCAGGAATTTATATATTTACAACAGTGATAAAAAACAAAGAAAAAGAAAAATGATCTTAGTAAGACTGACATTTGTAAGGGAGAAGTGCAAATTGCATTAATAAATAAGATGTACAAATTAAATCGTGAGAAAAAGCTGCATGAAGGTATAATACAAAAATATGTTTGGGACCATACGCCTGATAGGTGTGTTCACCTGTCACAGAATGAAGAGTTATTATACAACTTTACAGAGAGTGGTAGGAATGAGTTCCTGCAGCGTGCTTTATAGCAGCGAGGTTGATGTAGTGCAGAGACAATCGACTAAAAATAGCTTCTGACAACAGAACAGTACCTTGTGTGGCAGATCCACCATTAGTTGTGTACCTGTGTGTGTGTGTTAACAGGTCAATAAATGGAGCCCTTTGCAAAGTGCTTTGCAAACTGCCAATGGGGAAAAGTGTAATGTAAATATAGTCCATTTATCTTTACAAGGGGTGTGCAACATGGTCAAGGTGAATACAATAGAAAGACCTGACTGACATCATTTCAGTGAGACACATGACCGCTGCAGGTCTACACCTGTAGGTCAGATACCCTTGTAACTGTTGGTGTTTGTTCAATTTCCAAATGGAAAATGATAACAGTAGAAATGCTCTGCTCGTACACATTAAAAACATCTCACAAGGTGCATTACTGAGTCAACCAAGAGTAGAATTATTAAGATGATGACAATGATGAAAGTAAAAACAATTCAGAGAATCTACACTGTAATACTACACATAGCATAACTTGCAAAGGATGTGTGTGAACTGCAATATTAGAAACGCCTTCTTGTATAGCATAACTATAAGTTTTGTATAGGCTTATATATGTA